TTAAATCCTGTTAATTTCCAATTAAAGTGCAAAGAATGTTGCTAACTGGTATTAAGAAATTAATATGCTCTCAAAATTTTGTTTCAAAGCTATATGAAAAAATTGTCATTGACTTTTATGAAATAGTAATAGAGTCATGTGATAAACGTGGTAGGCAAAAAGGTTGCAGCCCAGCGTGGTACAAGTAACACGTGAGAAGGATTGAAAGTTTGGAGGTTAAGGGAAAAAGAAAGGCAAGATAAACCATTAGCTAGGGCCTGTGTGAGTGTTTTCTGTGAAGCATGGCTCTGAAGACAAAGAGCAGGCTGATTTCCCATTTAATCGTTGTTTAAAGCGCTAGTGAGATACTAGGAGCAGAGAGTCAGTTTGAAGTAGAATTATGGGAAGTGAAAACCATAAGAGATGTTCTAGAGCAGCATTAACCAACTTTTTTTTAAAGGGCCATACAGTAAATATTTTAGGCCTGCCAACTATGAAGTCTTTGTTCTCTTGAACTCTGCTGTTACAGTGGAAAAGTAAACATAAAAAACAAATAATGAATGGGATAAAACTTTATTTACAAAAACAGGTGGATAGGCTGTAGTTTGTTGATGCCCTGTTCTGGAGCAGTGTTTCTCAAAACTTTAATGTGTGTACAAATCAACAGAGTATCTTGTTAACATGCAGACAGATGGTCATTCAGTAAGTCTGGAGTAGAATCAATTAATCTGCATTTCTAAGAAGCTCCCAGATGTTACTTGCTCCTTGACTGACTGTACTTTGAGTCGATTCCAAAGGATAAACAAAGTAGAAGTATTAAATAAAAAATCTGTACTATAAGGTGGTTCTATGATCATTTGGTTCTTAAGCATGATTTAAATAAATTTTAATAAACATACCTACAATGTCTTTCCAGAAAGCACCAAATGAATTTAAGCGTTCTTTGAGAGAAAATTTTTTTAAAGAAGATTTCATCTAGATTAATACTTTACCATTGGCTCACTGAGCTGTTCTCTTCAGAAACCCAAACTAAGTAATATTTATAAAACTCCAACATAATCAAACCATTTTTCCATTTGCATTTTTATATACTATACGCTACCTTATTTCCCTGGTAGTTAAATCTCATTCTTGTAACTCTTGAATTGCCACCAGAACGAAAGCAGGTTATTTGTTGAGAATGGCCCCATTCAAACATTCTGACACTTCCATCTTGAGCTCCTGTCAGATCTGCATCACAAAAGGGCAAAAATTGCAAATTTATTTAAGGAATATTTGGAAAATTTATTTTTTAATCCAATGTAAAAATCTTTATGGAAGAAACACCTAAGAAATGAATTATAATTCATTTACATGAATTTACCTTTGTATGAAATTTCACTTGAATACTCTTAATCCTAAAAACAGATAGCTATATGATGTACTTTTATTTGACTGAGAATGTATCTCACACAAAACAACAGAAGCAATTTAAATCAGACCTCTATAAATTTTATTTCCTTTTGAAATGATCTCAATGCGTTAGTAGGTTTTAATAAATATAATAACTTATGACAACCACTTATCAAATGCTGGGGTTACTAAAGAGCCACTTCTTATCAGTTATACCATTAATGTTTGAATATATACATTTTTCTCTAAAAAAAAAATTATAGGAAGTCTTGAATGTCATTCTAAAGAAAAAAATCATTTCTGATAGTTCTTCTGATGGACCTAATATTTCAAATACATATTACTAGTTTCATTGAGAAATAAGCTAAATATAATTGCTAACACTTCACTTTACCATTAGCTAATTGAGTGATACTAGGAAACTTCTTTACTCTCCCTGAGCCTATTTCCTTCCTGTAAAAGGAGAATAATGATATATAAGTCACTGGATAGTTGTAAGAAGTGGGATAAGTCATATAAATCATTCAGAAATATGCCTAACATATAGGACTCAATTATGCTAAGTATAATGATCAGTATTAATGAGGTACAGAGGTAGCGAGAAATTTTATTACTCTATATAAAGATCTAGCACATTGCTAGTAAAATGTTAGTCAAGATTCCCTCATTCCTCACTAATACTTAAATAAATGGACTTCAATTGTTCTGAAATGTTTCCACAATGGACTGCAGTTGAGAGGATGGGTAGAATTTCTTGAGACTGGGGATGTTAGCTTTTTTCCCTTGCCCCCAGTAGTCTTACTTAGCTTATTAAAAAAAATAAATTGGGCTAGTTGTATTTAAAATCCACTCAAAGTTTTCTAATGCTATTCATGATTTTTTTTAATTTGTTTGAAAAAATTCCCTAATTATTAGAAGGTGACATAAAATGAAATCATCTATTAAAGCCTTTATAAACTAAGATTTTAAAAAACAAAATAAAGGTTTCTATTACCAAATTGTCTGAGCAAATATCCCTCACTAGTAACTGAAGAGTGTCATATAAAAGCAGTAGGGTTAACTACAATGGTAAACCTTAGTAAGTTCATTATTTTTTTTTAAAAAGTAGGACTTTTAAGACTTCCATTTCTATTTTAATTCAACCCATTAGCCTAACTTCTAAAAATTTCTCTAGAGTAAAAGTAAAAAAGTAGTGGTTTCTAGTGACTAAGATCTTTTTAAAGATCTACTCCAAAGGAAGAAACTATTTTGAGGTATCTGAAATTTAGAGTAAAATTAAAAAAAAAATCTTGTCTCATAACATTTCCACTACACAGAAAGTGCTTATTGTTGAACTAAGTTACTATCTGTGGGACTTGTTCATGACATGAAAAGATACTGAAAAAAAAAAATCTAGTGATTAATTCAATTAGCTTTCAATTTTTCAAGTCTGTTATTTGCCAGTTATGGTACCTTTTTGAAGAGAGGAAGTATTTATCCCAAGGCAGAAGTGAACTGATGCTACCTAATAACTCTGATAATACATCCATTAATTGCCTTTGAAGCTAGGGATATCTCTTTATTTAAATTTATGGGATTGAGGTAGAGAATGTTCCCTATAAACTAGTCGCCTGTTAGGATACATGCTATGAAGTCCCTTCAGATTTCAGGAAACTTCCAAACACTACTGCATAGAGTAAGGATAGATCTTTAAGCAATGCCAAATATTTCTTGCTGTGAGAATATTATTATTTAAGCTTTGTTTTAAAAACACATTTGACTCCTTACTCTCTAAGCTTCATGACTGATTTTCAGTTCTCACTTCATGTTAGAATTGTTGATAGAAAACATACTTCTGATGCTGAATAAATTCAGTGTAGTGAAAACAGACTATTTTATTCTTTGAGTATAAGTAACAGAAATAACTCTCTCTGTTTTAAATGTATGGTTCTCCTGAACACTTCTTTAGACACTGGAGTACAACTTTGATAATAAATGCTTACAGTACTTATGATAATTAAGTAGAAAAGAACATTGGTTCTGTCAATTGTATTTTATTGGAATATCTCTCAAAAAAAGGTGGTAATTTTTTTATAGGTTATTAAATTGGAGGGACATGAATACCTCTTAATTAACATTCACTATTTTTGTTACTGGGTGGTAGGACAACTTGATGAAGGGCACAACTTAAAAATTATATATAAAAAGAAACTTGGAATACTCACATTCCAATATGAATATTAATTCCAACCCCCAGTTAATTTTAAAGTTGTCTCTATTATTTTTTCTCTGCTTCAATATTTCCAATAAATTCCCCATAAATTAAGTTCTTTGTTAAAGGAAGAAAAACTTCTGAGATTCCTAGAAAGATTAACTGAAAATAAATATATCCGGCCTTAGAAGGTAAGAACCTACTAATAACCATTTCCTATAATTAGGGTGTCTGATAAAAGACAAACTGACAAAATATTAATAAAATACAAACTGATTATGATGACACAATACATGACCAAGATATGGTTCTGGTTTATGTAACAAAAGATGGAGGTGATCCAATTATTAAAACAATAATTATCAACTACAATTTAACATTGTGTAATGAGTCCAGAAATGTTAACAAATAAAATGTGTTAACTTAAAAACATGTAGTCAAAATTTTACATTAAGTTATACTTCTCTATTAACTCAGATAAATTTTTTTCTGGTTTTATTCAATTTTGAAATGTAGATCTTATTTACTAGCAAACACTCTCTAGAAAGAAAGGAAATCATCTGATTTAAACGAAAAGCTTCCTTTAAATTCCTTAGAGTAATGGCTAATTATCAACTTACAGTAAGGTAGAGTGGGATGAGAAGTCATTCTTCTGACATTATTAATGGCTTTCTTAATCATCTGTTAACAAAGAAAAATCGTTCCTCTTGTTACAGCAGTAATATTAAAAATTTTACTTCTGACAGGAAACTCAAATAACATTGGTTTATTTTTATGTGATTCCATTAACTGTCATTATGAGTGGTAAAAACACTAAACATGGTAACAGAAATTAAGTATAATAGCTCAGCTCTTACATTTCAGTGTACGCACATATTCTGCATAATTTAGTAGGCTCTAGGAATGAATTCACCTTGAGAATTTAGTCTTACCTCCTTTCTTGCCAATTCTTTTCTGATCCCATTAAATTTATTGGAATAATCCTGAATAGTATAAGGTTAAAAAGACAGGCAGAAGCATGTGAAAAAAAAAAAGAGGTAAACAGAAAATTGTATACATTTTTAATTGATAGTTTGGAACTGTTTATCATTTGTAAATCATGCTTTAA